ACAAAAACATTATACCCTGATTTCCCATTTTCAATGGGTTCAGGATATAAAAACAGAAGTACCTAAAAAATGCCCAAAAGAGACAAAGGCGAAACCAAAACCCAAAACCAAAGCTATTAAATTTGTTCAAATCGATTTAAGCTGACAATAGACGGCAGCAGCGCATACCCTATTCGAAGCAATCGGAGGCGTATGGGCGTGACACACTCGGCAATACACAGCAATTACAACCGCAAATGGCAATAAAATGGCAGAGTAAAATGTAACAACCGTTACAACTGTCGCAAGTGGCGCTATGCGAGCGAGAGAGGGAGACGGAGAGAGTGAGCTGGCAGAAACGGGATCGAGTCGAGTCGAGTTGAGTCGAGTCAACTGGCCGCTAGAGGGCGCCACAAACAATACACAAATTGGGACATTTACAACTGTCTCGAACCCAAAAACCGTTATCGCAAATTGTCGCTACAATTAAGAGGGGGGGCCGACGACGGTAGAGCACAAATTCCCTAATATAAACTGATGCGGGCAGAGAGAGAGAGAGAGTGGGAGAGAGTGCGAGAGAGAGGAGAGTGTGTGCAAGGTGCGGCTTTAATGTAGCCTAGCCAGATATTATTTGAAGCCATTTTAAAAGCATGCCAAAAACAACAACAACCAAAAAAATGGCACTCGAATTAAGTAAATATTTAAAGATGGCCGCAGAGAGGCAGGGGGAAATGGTGCTCTCTCTCTCTCTCTCTCTCGCAGAATGCTTTGAGATATCATTTGATTGTTTTTGCTGCGCAGCAGCTGAGCCCGAGGCGAGCACGAGGCACGAGCCACGAGGCGGGGGGGATTGGCGGAGCGCTGCAAATGCCATAATAAAACGCGAAAGAGCAAAGGAGCAAAGGAGAGAAGGAGACGAAGGAGACGAAGCATTTAAAGCGTAAACCCATTGAGCAAATATTTAACAAAGCGCAAAATTGCAGAATTCCGTTTTTTCCCTTTTATTTGCATATTTAATTTGTTTTGAGGTTTTTGGCCGTCCCTCTCCCTCTCTCGCTCACCCTTTGTCCCTCTCTCTGAGTGCAGCGCCAATGCACACATGCTCGAAGCAGCTCCGTTGACTGAGGCATGAGTGAGCGAGATGGACAGTGTATGAAGTACCGAACATTTGCATTTGCATTTGTTGTTGCATTTGCGGCCATTGTTGTTGGCTGCTCTCTTATTTCAGCACTAATTTGCACTTTACCGTTACTAATTGCTGCTGCTGCTGCTGCTGCTGCTGCTGCGTTTGCTCTTGGTTATTAAAAATAGTTCATAAATAATTTGCAACCTGCTTTCATGCTTTGCTCCACTGTTTAATTAATACAAAAACTAAGACGGCACAAGGGAGTGGAGCGAGGGAGCGGCAACAGTTCGCAGTTTGCTTTGTTGTCTTGTTCACACTTTGACCTCAGCCAAACAAAAAACAAAAACAAAGAGAAAAAAAACTATTAAGCATGGAACGTGGAGCACGTCAGACGTCCGCCCACTCAATTCGAAGGTTAAACTTCGCAAAGTGCCGCCCAGCTGGTGGGCGTGGCCGGCACATTTAGGCAGTCCGCAAAGTGTCACACTCTAACGGCATTTTCATTAATCAAGTTGGTCCGCCGTCCCACAGTCCCCACACCCATGGCCAGTTGAAAATCCTCATCCTCATCTAGCCACAACAGCAGCAAAAATTTATCCTTTGTCTCGCCTTTTGCTTTCACTTATCCTTTCGCGATTTTCCTTTCTGTATACATATATTCCTTTTTCCCGCGGTTTTCTCGCCTCCCCCTCTCTCCCCCTGTTCGCGCTGTCTCAGTTTATGCTGTCTGTCTGTCTGGCTGGCTGCGCCGCATGTGACATTAATTGAATAACGTAATGAATAACGTAATGAAGCACGTAAACTGTCTTAATGACAGTTGTCACAATTAATCACAGCCGTAAGAAGGTGCGAAACAAACAATTGGGAATGACTTCAGTTATGCACGCTGTGCGCTGTGCTCCGTGTGACGTAACGCACTGCACGACGTACTGGCGACACGTGACGCAACTGCAGACGACATCAAATTAAAGACGTGTTACAGTTTAGATATTCATTGCTCGACGTTGGCAGAATAGAATTCAATATGCGATGGCGTATTGATATTACGTGATTCAATGTGACGTAAGATTCTGCATTACAAAAGCTCCCATACTGTCAAACTAGTTAGTGGAACGCGCTTAAAAACTCGAATAACGTAAGAGACACTTACGTTACGTAAGAGTGTACGCATTACGTTTGCATAAACACGTCAAGATATTAAGGATATGTATTGTGTTACGTCAAATGGATCAAATAACGTAACCGCAAAAGACTCGAGCAGAAATGCATGCTAAATAGCTGATAAGCATCCTCTCTAGAGCGATTCGCTGGCTGCAGGGTATACACAGGCAGGCACCCCCGCCCCCCCCCCCCCCCCCCCCCCACCCTTTTGATTGTTTTCATTGTTTTCCCTTTGTTGAATTGAGCAGGTGCTACCGTTAAGCCAGCCGCTGCGGCGCTTACGCACTTTTAATCTACATATTTATGGCCTGGCGCTGCCCTCTGACTCCCACACACAGTCTCGCGCCGTCCTTGTCTAGCAACCTTCACTAATCCTGCGACTTTTCTCTTTTTCTGGTTTTCTTACAGCTGGCAACTGCACTGCTAATTGCGAGAGTTTAGAGGCAACTCGCAACAACAACAACAACAACAACAACGACGACGACAAAGGAGAAGAGCAAAAACAACAGCAAAACAAAGGAATAAAAGGGCGCCTTAATTAATCACAGAGAATACTGAGAATAAAGGCGAGCGAAAGAGACAAACGTATAGAGCGCGAAGGCAGCCAATAAGAGCGCGCCTGAGCTGTAAACGCGCGCAGCTTACAGTTATAAGCGACGCCTAAAAGTAGAAGACAGCATTAGAGCAGCCAAGGAGAACGAGCTTATGTGTGCGTGTGTGTGCGTGTGTGTGTAAGCACTTATACGTATAAGACATAAGAACTATTAACAAGTGACTTGAAGCAAAATAGCCATAAGTTTTACTTATACTTCAACCATACTCAAGGCTCTGCGAAGAGCGAGCGGCCGGAAGTATTCGTATAAGACGCAAGGCAGTAAATAGTAAGAGACGTATACCAAGTTATACGTGCGTAGCCCGGACAGTATATGACGCATTGATTGGTCAACTGTACGCAATTGAATAGAACTCTCGGAATAAAATACTTAACAGAATGTTAACGCGATCGCTGTTACGTCTGCTGCTAGCAGCGGTGCTGCTGTTAGCGCTAGCAGCGGAATCGCTGGGCCACAGAGACTGGATGCAGAACTGCAGCAATTGCCACTGCCATTGGAACTCGGGCAAGAAGAGCGCCGACTGCAAGGGCAAGAAGCTGACGAAGATTCCGCAGGACATGAGCAACGAGATGCAGGTGGTGGACTTCTCACAGAACCAAATACCCGAGCTGCGACGCGAGGAATTCCAGGTGGCGGGCCTACAGAATTTGCATAAGATCTACCTGCGCAACTGCACGATCCAGGAGGTGAACCGCGATGCGTTCAAGGGACTGCCCATACTGATCGAGCTGGACCTGTCCAGCAATCACATCAAGCACCTGCATCCGAGCACATTCGCAGGCGTGGAGAAGCTGCGCATCGTGAACATCAACAACAACGAGATCGAAGTTCTGGAGAGCGGCTTGTTTGTCAATTTGCCGTTTCTGTCGCGCGTCGAGTTCAACAACAACCGCCTGAAGCAGGTGCAGCTGAACGTGTTTGGGGGTCCGCTGACCTCCATTTCGCTGGAACAGAATCAGCTGACGCACCTGAACAAGGAGACGTTCGCCAATCTGCCCAAGCTGACGTATCTCTCGCTGCAGGGCAACGCATGGAACTGCAGCTGCGACCTGCAGGAGTTCCGGGACTTTGCCATTGCCAGGCGACTCTTCACACCGCCCACCGACTGCCGGGAGCCGCCCCAGTTGCGGGGCAAGCTGTGGAGCGAGGTGCCGTCGGAGAACTTTGCCTGCCGGCCCCGCATACTCGGCTCCGTGCGCTCCTTCGTCGAGGCCAACCACGACAACATCACGCTGCCCTGCCGCATCGTCGGCACCCCCCGACCCAACGTCACATGGATCTACAACAAGCGCCAACTGAATCCGAGTCCCAACGACCAGCACCTGCGCATACTGAACTCGGTGGGCGAGCAGGTGAACGGACAGCAGCCGCCTGTCCAGGTGTTGACCTCAGAGCTGCGCATCTACGGCGTACGGAACTCGGACAAGGGCGCCTACATATGCGTCGCGGACAACCGAGGGGGCAAGGCGGAGGCCGAGTTCCAGCTGCTGGTCAATGGCGACTATCTGGGCGCAGCAGCTGCCTCCGACGGCCTGGCCGGCATTAGTGGAGCCATCGGCGCCTCGACCAGCGATCCACAGACGAGCATCATCTTGGTGATCTGTGTGATAGCGACGACATTTCTCGTGCTGCTCATCTGCGCGGTGCTGATCCTGTTCTGGTACTGTCGCCGGGTGAAGACCTACCAGAAGGACAACACAATGATGAGCGGCGACGGCTTGATCTCCTGCAAGCTGGACAAGACCCACAACGGCTCGATGCTGGAGGGGTCTGTCATCATGGAGATGCAGAAGAGTCTGCTCAACGAGGTGAACCCGGTGGAGAAGCCACCGCGACGCACTGACATCGAGAGTGTCGATGGTGGAGACGACGGACACGAGATCAAGAAGACCCTGCTCGATGAAACGGCATACGGTAAGTTATTCAAGTGGCAAGAGGGGTAGGTGACCCCTACAGGGGGTACGGGGGAAGGCGTAAAGGAAGAGCATCAATTGAAAAATGTGAGGAATTAGTAGAAAGCGTATTATTATTGATCAAATAAACTAAACGCTTTGAATCGCATGCGTTAGACAGAGGCAACAGGAGCATCGCAGAGCAAATAAATATTGCAAATGGCGGCAGATCAAGGCAGAGAATGAAAGTGAAAGTGGGAGCGAGAGCGAGAGCGAGTGGCGCTAGGCAAGTGATATTGTGTGAGCTTAAAATGGCGCACGAAAGGGATACATATGACGCTGAGTGCGAGGGGGAGCGGGAGAGCAAATGGCAAATGGCATTTGCTTTTGGGCTTTTGCTTTTGTTTTTGTCACGACAACAAAATGAACGAAGCGACGTGAGTTGCCTGTTAAACAGTATAGCTATACCGCTCTCTCTCTCTCTCTCTCTCTCTCTCTCTCTCTCTCTCTCTCTCTCT